CTGACCAGTAAACATTAGTCAAGTGTTTCCTTGAATTATGTGAGTTGTTATAGCCAATTACTCCCGAGGAGGGGTTGTGGAAGCCCCTAATGTGTAGCCAAGGCAGACACAAATGTGGGTAACCTGGGAACCTATTAATTGTGATTGGCATCTGAAGTGGGGGTGCAGTTCTGAGGGACTGAACCTTTAACCTGTGGGGTCTGTGCTAACTCTGGGTAGTGTTTCTTTGGTTCGTGTTTTTTTGAGACAGGGTCTCACTCTGTCACCCAGGGTAGAGTGCAGTGGCACCATCACAGCTCACTGCAACCTCTACCTCCTGGGCTCAAGTGATTCTCCTACCTCTGCATCCTGAGTAGCTGGGAAAACAGGCACATGCCAACACGCCCGGCTAATTTTTAAAATTTTTTGTAGAGATGGGGCTTCAACATGTTTCCCAGGCTGGTCTTGAACTCTTGGGCTCAAGCAACCCTCCCGCCTTGGCCTTCCAAAATGTTGCGATTATAGGTGTAAGCCCCTGTACCTGGCCCCAGCTCTGGGTAGTTATTGTCAGAACTGAATTAAATCGTCGGCCACTGAATTGCTGCCAGCAGAGAATCCCCTTGGTATGGAAAACTCACAATTTGGTATCAGAGGTGTTGAGTAAGAAACAGTTTTCCTTTAACCACAAATTTCTGAAGTCCCCACAACTGACTGCCTAAACACACACACACACACACACACACACACACACACACACACACGCAGGCACAGGCACAGACACACACACAGACATATACACACACACTCACTTTTTTCAATTTAAGTTAAATGACTAGTATACTGAGATCTTAAACACTGCCATGCACCTAGGATGAGTTCACTTTCTGAACACCGAGTACACAGAACTGAAAAGGTACATCCTTGATCAGGAAAGAATCCTAGAATCTGGATCAGGCCACAGATGATAGCATGGCAGGAGGGGAAGTGGCACAGAAGAACAGTTTTGTGGATGTTCAGTAGGAAGAGTCACATCCAGCGGGGGGCAATGGGGAGAGACTCCATGGAGAGAAGGGAGGAAAACATGAACCTTAAGCCTCACATCAGTCACATCATCCCAACAACCCCTGCAGCAGGCAGAGTACCCATTTTACGGATGAAGAAAGGGAGGTGAAGAGGATGAGGTGACTTGCCTAGGATTGCACAGTGAGTGGGGGAGTCATGAATTGCTTTGTTTCATTCTGAAGCCCATGTTCTCTCCTCTATATTGACAATCTTCAAATAACGTTCTATGGAGCCCTGACGGTGGGGTAAGGAAAGTCCAGGACAAGGCTGCACCCATAGGGCTTGGACCCCCACCCTAATTTCAACCCCAGCAGCTCTGCTTCCCATATATACTTATAGAATGGAGTTCTATAGAAGATTTCATTTGAAAAAAATCGACTGCAGTTAAACACAGGGTGTTGACCTGTGCCCAAAATCAAGCCAACACACACTTAGCTTCCAGACCTTGAGCAAAACACTGACCTCCTAAGCCTTTGCTTCCTCAGTTACCAAATGGGTATAATATTAACACCTATGTGGCAGGGCTGTTGAAAGGATTACATGCTCAAAGAGATGGAGGCCGCGTGGTTGCTCATGCCTGTAATCCCAGCACTTTGGGAGGCTGAGGTTGGTGGATCACCTGAGGTCAGGAGTTTGAGACCAGCCTGGCCAACATGGGGAAACCCCGTCTTTACTAAAAATACAAAAATTAGTCAGGTGTGGTGGCAGGAACCTGCAGTCCCAGCTACTTGGGAGGTAAAGGGAGGAGAATTGCTTGAACTGGGGAGGGGGAGGTTGCAGTGAGCTGAGATCACACCACTTGCTCCAGCCTGGGTGACAGTCTGTCTCAAGAAACAACATTAACAACAACAAAAAGACATGGAAAGCACTTGGCACAGTATCTGGCACTCAGCACACTGGCATTCTTATTAACTTGTGGAAAATAGCAAGGCCAGTCCTGCAAGGAAAGAGAAAAAAAAAAAAATATTGCTATGGACTGAACGTTTGTGTCCCCTGCAAATTCTGATGTTGAAATCCTACCTGTAACGTGATGGTATTAGGAGGTGGGGCCTTTGGAGATAATTAGGTCATGAGGGTGGAGCCCTCATGAATGGGATTAGTGCCCACATATAAAAGAGACCCCAGAGAACTCTCTTGTTCTCTTTCCATTATGTGAGGACACAGTAAGAAGTTGGTGGCATGCAACCTGGAAGAGAGTCCTCACCAGAATCTGACTGTGTTGGCATCTTGACCTCAGACTTCCACCCACCAGAACTGTGAGAAATCCATTTATAAGCCACCCAGTCTAGGATACTGTTACAGCAGCCTGAACCGACTTAGACAATCATAAAGCTATCAGAGGAATTTTTAGGGACATTAAAAAGTACTCCCCACAAAGAGCTGTGACAGTTCTGACCTCTGCTTTGCGCTCTCTCCCTGGTCTTGATAAATGTAAGTTTGCATTTGTACTAGGACACACACCTAGAGCTGAGGGAGGCCTTGGTGTCTAAATTTGCAAATTGTGGTCACATCCCCATTTGCTGCTTGTCAGCTGGTTCAGCAAGAAGCTTAACAGAGACTGGGCTCTGAGCATTGAGGTCAGTAACCTCAAACCCCCAAACAAATTTACTGCATTGCTCAGAGCCCCAAAGCACAGGCTGTCCCCTAAGCTGGCTCTTGGCTTTTATACCAAAAGCCCCAGGGTCAGGGGAGGCAGGTATATCAGCTCTGCCAAGCCCCAGAGCCTCCTCCCTTAGCCATCTGGGAGCTTTCCCCTAGGCAGAATTCTGCAGGGGACAGTGGGATCTCAGGTCTTGGGTCCCTTTCAGGATCCTTCCATCAAAGACTCCAGTGAATTAAGTTCCCAGTGAAAGTTTTTGTTTTTTTTTTTGTCTTGAGACAGGGTCTTGCTCTGTTGCCCAGGATGGAGTACACTGGCACAAGCATAGCTCACAGCAACCTCAAACTGCTGGGCTCAAGCAATTCTACCCCTCTGCCTTTCCAGTAGCTGAGACTGACAGGTATGTCACCATACCTGGATAAATTTTTTTTTTATAGAGATGGGGGTCTCACTATGTTACCCAGGCTGGTCTCAAACTCTTGGCCTCAATTGATCCACCTGCCTTGGCCTCCCAAAGTCCTGGGATTATAAACATAAGCCACTGCACCCAGCCCCAGTGAAGGTTTTGATGGCTTACAGTAAAATGCAACCCCCTGTTTCATGCCTATAATAGCTACGCATCCTTGTGAATGAGTGAATGAAAATCACATTCAGGAAGCTAGAGCCTCTGCATTCTCACAAGACACACAGAAGCACTGGCCATGGAGCTTCTGTGCCTGGTCACTGAACCATTGGCTGGGTGGGACTTTCTTCCCATGGCTCTGCTTTGGATTCTCCACCTGTCACCTCAGCCAGTGGCACTGCCACCAAGCTCTGACAGTTTCTCTTTGGGGAGGTTTAACCTTTTCTCTCTTCCAGGCAGTGGAGAGGGTCATTTGCTACAGAGCACTGAGCAAGAAGGTTGGCTTGTGCCGGGCACACGTCTTGCTCCTTTCCTTCTCACTCTGCCAGAACGAACATGTCAGAGCTAGATGCACCCACAGAAGTCATCTCCCCATGGTGGGGACATGGAAACCAAAGCCCTGAGACATCAAGCAAGTAGCCCGAGGACATAGCGCTGGCTGCAGGGAGGGGCAGAACACTTGGCCTCTGACTAAAGCGCCTCGTACAGCACTTTCTAGAACCCTTTCTTTGCCTTGGCTGGTTTGAAAGTCTTGGACTCACTCCCAGAGGTGCTCCTAAACCTGAATTCTATACATTATAAACACAAAATATACCTACAGCATATGCACAGATATGGATGGTATATATGTAGATATGTATATATCATTTACATACATATACACGTGTTTGCAACTGATAATTAGTATATACAGAGACTGTTAAAGAGCTTGAATAAGCTCAACTGCCTTTATTTTATTATAGAATAATGATAATCGAAGAGGTAGAGGAAAGTCAGAAATTCGGAGTATGAGACAGGGGGAAAGTATATAATTTGCAAAAGCATATTCAATATTATAATTGCTTTGACTTTTTTAATGCACAATAAAATGTACTTTGAAATCTTTATGGTAAGGAGGGCATTCAGAGTTTATGTTCATCCAAAGGGAATGCAGCTTAAATAAAAAAGATTGGGAGATTCTGGACTCACAGCATATTATAGCTTTGGAAATTGTCTGATCCAATTTCGTGCTAAGGATAAGGAAACTTCCACCCAGAGGTTAAGTGACTTCTAGTCTAAGGCCAAATGGCTTGTTATTCATCCCTGAGGGGAGCAGCCACGTGGACTTTATCTGTTCTGTCCATGGTAGCTGCATGATTTGTTGACGACCAAGGAAGGAATTTATTACATCAAGGATGTTAAGACACAGACAGAAAGCACTTCCCAAGCACACCTGCATTTTTTTTAACAAGGGGGATTCTTGGGAAAGGTGAATTGGAATGTAAGGATTTTACTGATGGCACCATGTCCCTGGGGCAGCACCCCAATGGCCCACACACTTGGCTGCGCTTGGCTCCAGCCCGTCTTTGTATAATTCTGGGGAGACTCTCTCCTGGTCCTCTTTCAGGGGAAGAAAAGGTCTGGCTGCAGGAGTGACTCCTTAAGCGGTTCTCCTCTCCCCCTGGTCACCTGCAGAGGCCATCGCCAAGTTGGGCAGACGGTTTCAGTCTAGTCCCATTGACTGAGACAAGTTGTAGGTTTTCTCTCATTTGTTCGGACAGGACCATGCGTTTCAGCAGAAGGACTACAGCTCCTGAAAGAGTTAGCTTGCGAGCACAGGCAGCAGCCCAGGAAGACTTTACCTACAGCCTCAGGCTAGGACAAGACACGGCAGACCCTGTTGGGGAACCTGGGGGAAGGCAACTGTCCCCAGAGTGGCAGCTGCCCATGTGCCCACCAGTGCAGGAGTCCACTTACCGCAGTGAGACTGGAAAACCTGTGGTTTGACGACCTGGTTACAGGCACTGCATACCACGAGATAGAAGTCGTCATGTGCTGGGTAATGGCCAAATAAGTGCATATCTGTGGGGAAAATGAAAACAGTGTTTTTTGAAACAGCAATCAAGTCTCAGAAGGTGTACAGTTTCCTCTTGGAATTTCTTCAAGGACAGTTTTTCAAGCACAACACTCAGCAAGGCAATAATCTTTACTAAAGGGAACTCAGTTTGTCAGAAGGCATCTGCCCACCTCTCAGAGAAGCAATTGGCTCAGAGAATCCCTCCTCATTTCTCCCCTGGAAATGGACTGCGGCTGCTGCTGATCAGTACACGCTGTCGAGGGGCTCTGAGTCACATGCTTTGGGATTTACCCTGTCCTGAGAGAACCCACATGTTAGCTGGGATTCACTGAGGCTCTATTTATCTCAGCATTGGGGGAAACTCCTCCAAACCCATTCCTGCATAAGCAGGGGTCCCTCAGGGAAGTGAGAGTGTGTCTGGCTGGGGCCAGAAGGAGGACTCATTTGGCCTCAGCAGTGGCTGGGTTTCCCCATCACCCGAGGGACATGCCAAGCCTGAAGGAGTCCACTGAACAAGTGGCTAAACAAGTGGCTCGTCTGCTGACACTGTGACCCCTTATTCATTTGGTAAGTATTTACTGAGCCTAGACATTGTGCTAGGTGCTGGGGAAAACTGGGTAACAAGGATGGGTTCTCTGCTCTCCTGGAGCTTAAGGTAGCAAAAGAGAGAAACATTAGGCAGAACACCAGGGTGTCATTGTTGCCTGCAGCTGTGTTAGGGGCTGTGGCAGAGATGCACGGGGTCCCCTGGGAGTGTGTGGCAGGTGGCCCCAGAATGAGACAGTAGAGAATGCTTCCCTGAGGAGGGGGCAGGCCATCTGAGACTCCAGGATGAGTAGAGTTTAGAGAAGCAAAGGGCAGGGGAAGGCAGAAAGTTTGAAGCTGAAGCCAAGGAAGGAGGTTCTGTGCATAGAGGGAGGCTTGGTGGCCTCTTGCCTGGCACAGAACAGGGGAAATGGAAGGGTGAGGTTGGCCAGGCCCAGAAGCCATGAACCTTCTATGCCCAGGTGAGGATTCTGACTCTGACTTTAAGAATACTGGGAAGTAATAGGGCTTTTTAAGCAAAGGAGTGGCGTGATCAGGTGCGTCCTTTTAAAAGATCAGTTATGTGACAGTATCTCCGAGATGATGAACACATAGGTACACGGATGTTCATAGCAGCATTGCTCAGAACAGCCAAAAACTGGAAACAACCTAAGCACCCACCAACTGATGAGTGGATAAACAAAATACCACAGAACACTGTCCATCCACTGAAAGGAGTAAGTACTGATGCCTGCTACAATGGGATGAACCTAGAAAATACTAGGCTAAATGAAAAGAGGCAGACACAAAGGTTGCATGTGGAATGACCCCATTAGATAAAATGTCCAGGGCTTCTTTTTGGGTCAATGAAAATGTTCTAAGATTATGGATAGTGAAGATGGTCACACCACTCTGAGAACAGACTAAAACCCACTGAACTGTATACTTTAAATGGTAAACTGTAGGGTATGTGAATTATCTCTCAGCTGGGTGTGTAATCCCAGCACTTGGGAGGCAGGAGGATCACTTGAGCCCAGGAGTTCAAGACCAGCCTGGGAAACAAAGTGAGACACCCCCATCTCTACAAAAAATGTACAAAAAGCAGCTGAGTGAGGTGGCTTGTGCCTGTGGACCCAGGGGCTCGGAGGGCTAAGGCAGGGGAGTTGCTTGAGTCCAGGAGATCAAGGCTGCAGTAAGCTACAATCATACCAGGGCACTCCAGCTTGGGCAACAGAGTGAGACCCTGTCCAAAAATAAAAATGAAAATAAAATTATCTATCTGACAAGAAAAAGGCCAGTTGTGAGAAACCCACAGTCGCATCTGTGCACCACTGGGTGGCGACGGGTTCTGGTGGACACCTCCGCCCTGCCTCCTCTTAGCTGACTGGTTTTGAGAGCGCAGCCGTAAACACCGGCAGGGGTGATGGGGGAATTAAATCTCCTCGGTTGAGAAGCCCCCACCAAGCCTTCCTTTGCTATACTCAGCCTGTGACTTTAATGAAACCCCCCAACATGATGGTTCCCCCAAGTGCAATCCTAGGCCAGAGAAGGGGAAGGTTCAAACCCTACAAATGCCTGGGAGGCCTCGAGGTTCTGTGTTCCCAGAGTAGCCCTGCTGCTTCAAGGGAAATGGAACCTGCAGGTTTGTCACAGGCAAGGGGTGAGGCCCCTACTTGCCCTGGGGGAAGCCTGTGACTGAAAAAGTGGACCGAGCCTGGCTGGGGGCAGGCGACTCACACCGTAGTGGCCTCCCCAGGTTTTCAGGTATCTCGACTGGCCTCGGCAGTGCCTAGGTTTCCCCATCGCCTGAGGGACATGCCAAGGCTGAAGGAGTCCGCTGAACAAGCAGTTAAACAAGTGGCTCGTCTGCTGCCATCATGACCCATTATTCATTGGGTAAGTATTTACTGAGGCCCCTGAATAGCTGGGACCACAGGCACAAGCCACCTCACCCGGCTGCTTTTTGTACATTTTTTTGTAGAGATGGGGTCTCACTTTGTTTCCCAGGCTGGTCTTGAACTCCAGGGCTCAAGTGATCCTCCTGCCTCCCAAGTGCTGGGATTACACACCCAGCTGAGAGATAATTCACATATCCTGCAGTTCACCATTCAAATCATACAGGCTGCTTGCAGGCCCAACTGTATTTTAAAGGGCGTGGCCTGTCATCCCCCTCATCTCTCGCCACTGCCACTTCCAAGACTGGCACACACTGTGTGTGGGAGGTGCTGGAGGGGAGCGTTAGTCAGGGCCTGGTAGGCAGGAGGCCTGTGGGAAGAGAGGCTGAGACGAGCCCAATACTGGGTCCAGGCAGCACCCTGTGGGCAGGCAGGACCCTCATACAGAGCCTCAGAGCCAGGCAGACCACCCTTCTTGGGTTGTTGACACAACTCTTGTTTTGTTTTTAACTTTACAGGTTGTTTATTTTTGTAACACATATTCATTATTTTAAATAAAACAAAAGGGATCCAAGTTCTCTGAAAATACATTTGGAAAAATACAGAAAATACAGAAGAAATGGAAGAAAAATACCATTACCAGCAAACTTGACTAACACTCTATGTCTCATTTCGACTTAAAAGTCACATTTTATATCCAGGAACAGGTAAAACCGGGAGCTGGTGAGGGCTACAACTTACTTATTTATTTAATAAGCATTTATTTGGCTGCCTGGCATCCTTCCTGCAACAGGTCAAGCTATGAAGGAATAAAAGGTGATCATTAAAAATAATTTTAAAAAAAGCAACAAACCCAACCAAGCATTAACAAAAATTTCGTGAACAGCTACTCTTGTGCCAGAAACTGCCAAGTGCTGGGAGGTTTAGACTCACTGGAATGGGTGGGGAATTTGTTCCTACACCTTTCTCTTACATGCTGGGTGACCTATGGGGGCCTGTCAGGCTGCCAGATGCCCCATTCTTCTGTATTCCTCCAGAGACCTGCAGAGCCCATCCTGTCTCCCCTACCCCCACCCTCCCACACGTCTGTTACATCAGTGAGTGGAAGGTAAAGGTTCAGCTCCTTAGTGTGGCCACTGGGAGCGTGTTCCCCTCCAGGCCTCCCACTCACTGAGACTTTTCCTAGTTCCTTCCAGGGCAGCATCAGCCTCAACCTCATGTGTCTGCTCTGAGCATGTCTGCCATGGAAAGTGAGAGGACTGCGAGTCTGCTTATTTACTCCTCAGTGAGTCAACCTTAGGATCTCCTCTACAGGCTGCCCAGGTACTGAAGGCCCCGCTGATAGGGAGCAAACACAGGCAGCTGGCTCCCAGGAAGCCCACCACTTCACATGGCTAGGTGTTCACAGGCAGTGTGCTGTTTCATTAGAGCAATGTGGGCTGGGGAACAAAGCAGGGAGGGAGAGCAGGGGGCGAGGAGAACTAAGGTAAGGCATAATGATAGGGACTCTGCTAACTAATTCTCTTTTGCTCTCTCTCTCTCTCTCTCTCTTAATTTGCCCCCAAGCAAAACATTCAGTGCACAGTTAAAACAGTGGTGAGTCGAAGTGGGCTGGTGCCAGCTTGTGAGAGCCAATCACGCATGTCCCTTCTCAATTTCATGTTCAGTGTCGTCATGGCTGTAGCTTGAAATCAGCCATGGTGGAAATATTTACACCAAGGAAATGGGCAAAGACTACAAATCAGGCTTTTTGTTTTTCTTTTGTTAAATATTTACTGGTGCACCACTGGAAAAACATGGGCAAAAAAGTGAAGAGTGCAACCATCTGTAATGCCACCACCTGGTGATAAGCACTGTTGACATGTTAATATATCTCTCTCCAGATTTGTGATGTGACGTTATCTTAGTTCATCTTCATAATGAACCTTTGAAGTTGTCAACATCGCCACTTTCCATGCAAGGGAATGACAGTAAAGTAATTTGCTTGCAATCCCATGGCAGTGATTTGTAAAAAATAGGATGAGATTCCCGGATACTCTGACTCTAAAGCCACTTCTCCTTTCTTAGCAAAATGCTGCTTACATAGAACAACATCCCATTTCACAGATGAGAAAACCAGTTTAGGAGGGTTTCCTGGGTGACTAACAGGCTGTCCTGAGGCTCTGAAGGGGCTGTTGGCCTGGGCACTGGCCTGGGGTCAGAAGGTGAGGTCGGGAGCACAGGGCTCACTGCTTAGCCTTTCCTAGACTGAGTGTCCTCCTCTCTGAAAAGAGCCAACAGTCTCTGTCTCATCTCATGGGGTTGCTGTGATGGCTCCTAAACACTGCTTGGCCTTGTACCTTTTTCCAGGAGGGACTCAGGAAAGAGTGTGGAGAAAGCCTTCATTATTACCTCCCTTGGAGCAAGGACTCTCCCCCATGACATGTCACAGCAGACCTAGGAAGGTTGATCCCTCTGACTGCAGAACTTCATGTGTGTGTATGTGCACATGTGTACACATGTGGGCAGAGGAAGGCTGAGAGCCCCTGGGAGGCTTCTCTAGGCTGTGGCTGAATGCCAAGAAAACATGTGCCCAATGAAGATGG